GTACTGCGCGAGTTGGGGCGGGCAGGCATAAGCGGCGAGGGCGTCAGGGAGCGAGAGGGGGGGCAAAGCCCAGAGCGGCCCTTTGGGGAAGGCGGGACCCGCCACCCCATTGTCCCTCTGCCTTCGCCTCCCGCTTCTGGCTGCGGCGATGGCGTGCGAGCGTGCGTGTGCGGGGGAGGCGAGCATGTGCGGCCGTGGGAGACGCACAGTGTCAGCCGTGCACTCGCTGAAGCTGGCGCCCTCCAGCGAGACGTCGCCGCTGTTGTACACCCACAAACCTCCTCCGCCCTGCGCGAGTTGGGGCGGGAAGGCATTCAGCGGGGAGGGCGTCAGCGAGCGAGAGAGGGCGGGCAAGCCCAGCGCGGCCCTTTTGGGGGAAGCGTGTCCCCGTTTGCCACCCCATCTCCCTCTGCCTTCTTCTCCCGCTTCCGGCGCCGCAATGGCGTGCGAGCGTGCGTGTGCGGGGGAGGCGAGCGTGTGCGGGCGTGGGAGACGCACATTGGCAGCCGTGCACTCGCTGAAGCTGGCGCCCTCCAGCGCGACGTCGCCGCTGCTGTACACGTACATACCTCCTCCGCGCTGCGCGAGTTGGGTGCGGGCAGGCATTAAGCGGGGAGGGCGTCAGGGAGAGGGCGGGCAAGCCCAGAGCTGCCCTTTGGGGAAAGCGGGTCCTGCCTCCCCATTGTCCCTCTGCCTTCCTCTCCCGCTTCCGGCTGCGGCGATGGCGTGCGAGCGTGCGTGTGCGGGGGAGGCGAGCGTGTGCGGGCGTGGGAGACGCACATCGCCAGCCGTGCACTCGCTGAAGCTGGCGCCGTCCAGCGCGACGTCGCCGCTGCTGCCCACGTACATACCTCCTCCGTTCTGCGCGAGTTGGGGCGGGCAGGCATTAAGCGGGGAGGGCGTCAGGGAGCGAGAGAGGGCGGGCAGGGCCCAGAGCGGCCCTTTTGGGGAAGGCGTCTCCCGTTTGCCGAACCATGTCCCTCTGCCTTCCTCTCCCGCTTCCGGCGCCGCAATGGCGTGCGAGCGTGCGTGTGCGGGGGAGGCAAGCGTGTGCGGGTGTGGGAGACGCACATCAGCCGTGCACTCGCTGAAGCTGGCGCCATCCAGCGCGACGGTA